AAGTTAAAGTAGTTCAGTAACACATTAGTGTAAACCTGCAATCCTTGAAATCAGTCAAAACTCACGGTTATCATTCGAGCTAGCCTAGAACCCAGTAAGGACCTAATAGAGTGTGGATCCTTAACCTTGAAAAGGGTTAAGAGACAAAGTTAGACAATCACAAAACAGAGCTTAACAATTTTGAAACCAAAACATAAAAGAATCACATTCCACATCCTATCAGACATAAAACCAAGAGCTTAACATTCTCTCTGCAAAAATTAGCAATAAAATACTTCTTTTCTATTTTTATCAGCCATTCACTTGTCATGCAATGCATGCTTAAAAAAAGCAACAACTTTGTTACATTGATATTATTTACATTCTGGTCTGACTCTCGCTTCTGACTAGATAAGGGACGAATGACTTATTACGTAGCGATTTTATAAAAGAAGAGAGGGGGAAGGGTTGAGTTTGGCGAAAGTTTTAACAACGATCCAGGAAAATTGATGGCAAGAGGGAAAATGGGGTTCAACAAAAATCATTTTTTGCGTTACTTAATAAGTGAACAGTCCTAAAAAGCAACTTTAATAGCAGAAGAAAAAACGTTTTTCATTTAATATCGTTAAAAATCTAATAGTCTTTGTAGAATAGCGCATAAGAGATTCCAACATAAAACATGGATGCAGATAGCTGCTATTCTTGTTTGTGAATGAAGAAGAACAAATTAAATTCTACATTTATGCATGTCTTGCAAGTTGAAACATTTAAGAGAACTTATCAAATGAGAAAGAGAAAACGGAGAAGCCAAAAATACACAAATATTTGAGCTTAAAAAAATCTAAAACCAAATTTATTATGTGTTCTTTATTTGGTTTAGTACACTCTGAAATGTATCAATATTGGAAATGTTCAGCATGTCATTTAATCTGTTTCAATTTAGCATACATCAAATTTTCAACATCCTTGTTTTCATCATTTTGTGGATTTTGATGAAAAAAATTGTTTTAAAATTGTGAAGCTTATCATCACCCGTTAATGTTGTTCTAACATTCTCGTATAAGCCGCAACATCATTTGAGGGAAGTTGCATAATTTTGTGCTGAAAAAGCTTAATTAAATTTAAAAATATATGCACGAACTTTTTGAGGTATCTGATGCTGACGATGAAGTGTTGTTTCGGAATGAATTGCATGAAAATAACTGTGCATGGATATAAACCTGATATTATCTAATTCATTTGTTAAAATGGCTTGCATTTCGATATTTCAGCAAATTTGTTTTTAAAATCACTCTAGAGATCTATGAAAATGCGTCAAGCCTTAATCGCATACTGAATATGACGTGCTAGTGTCTTTGCCATGTCCAGAGCTGGCAAATGGTTCAGATTACACTTTAAACAATAGGTCTAAAAGGTGTGGTACAAGATATTCTGATCTAATTGAATCGCAATGCGTCCAGCTCAAAAGGCTGGGCCCCTCTCATGATTTATCTTTTAATTGTGTAATTTAAACTGCTAATTGTCGTTAGAAAATCAAGGAAAAAATCACTTATCAAAATATTTGAGCAAACAAGCTTTAATTTTGTGTATGCAACAGGAAAGCAAATGCTAATGGCAACCACAGCTTTTATGTGAAATGCTCTAAAAGAGCATGAGAAAAAAAAATGTTTAGAGGATGTTATAAAAAAATCATTCCATTCATCGCTCATCATAAAAATGCACTCACATCAAATTTGTGTTCATTTTGCAAATTAAGAGCCCCATTTGGGTAATAAAAATCTTTTTTTGTGCTATTTATTTCCATTTTTCACATTTCTCTTCTGTGATTGCATTTTGTTAATTTATTCATTCTGAATGGTTTGATGAAATGACCCAAGAGATATCCTATTATAATATACAGACAGTACATTTTGATGCTGTAAATAGCCAATTAATTTTTATTTTTCACTATAAGACTATGCTTTCATGAGTATTTTATTTCATGTTGCACAGCTGTATGTTTTTGTGGAACAAATGATAATATGCTGTGGCATTTTGTCTAGTAACGGCTGGTTTCTAGAGCTACACGGGAAAACATTCCCTAATCACAGTCTAATGACGATTCTACCTCAAATTAAAGTCGATCTTTTTTCAAATCTATGGCCGAGCCTTCAGTCAGCTCTAGAAATCAGCCTAGGTTCAGCAGACCATTCTCTTCAAGCTACACCTGCTAAATCCAAGTGTGTAAAAAATTCTGAAATTAATAAAATCTCTCTAATTTCGATTAAGTTCACAATAATAAAATTTCCCTTACAATCAACTGTAATGGCTTACTGGAAGCATCTACGCAATCTTCCACAACAATCAACACAAATATTTTCCCTACTTATTTCCTCATTTTTTCGATCTTCACATTTTTATCTGATGATAAAATAATGAAAATAGTACTGCACATAAAATATACTTACAGTAGCGTGCAAAAGTGAGTGGACAGAACAAATTTTTTAACAATTTCGTTCAAAAAGTATCTTCCACTAAACGAAATCACTTGAAATTTTCACAGTATATCTAATTTTTGATGAGATTTCGTATGAAAAATAAATTTTGTACTATAATTAAGGAATTTGAAAATACCGTTAAATATTCAAAATCGATAACGTGCAAAAGTGAGTGGACAGTTTTCAATGACAAAAAAAATGTGTTAATAAGTGTGTTATGGTAACTTTTTAAGATGGAAATCTGAAGCTTAGGCGATTTTCTTAATTAACGTTCAAAAATTTTCCACCAAAACCACGTGTTTTCTCGATTTTTCTTAAATTCAAAATGGCTACTATTTTTAATGACTTTTAAGCAAATATGTCATATGATTCAATCTTAATTAACTTAGACTTTACTGATTTATTTAGTATTTTTAATAAGCTTTCAGAATATATACAGTTTATTATAGTAAAAGTTGATGTTATGCAAAAAAATTATAGAAATATTTTTTTCATTGGCGATTTTTTCACAGTACAGAACATTAAATTGAGGAAAACTTGATAAATACTTTGCATATATAAGACTTTTTGGTATTAATTTATTGCATTTTATTTGGACAACATTATTTATGCAGTTTAAGTTAGCTAAAAAAATTATCCATCAAGAAACAAGCTGTCAAATAGTATGTCAATTGAGCTTCTTAAATAATGAAAAATAAATTTTTTTAAAATTTGTTTAAAATGAATATCTGTTGCAGAAATTAATTTTTAAATGTTAAATTTTAACATAATTATGCGTTAAAAATCAAAACTTATAAAGTTTTCACGATAGAAAGTTAATTTTGCAAAAATTTATTTTTCATTATTTGAGAAGCTCAATTGACATACTATTTGACAGCTTGTTTCTTGATGGATAATTTTTTTAGCTAACTTAAACTGCATAAATAATGTTGTACAAATAAAATGCAATAAATTAATACCAAAAAGTCTTATATATGCAAAGTATTTATCAAGTTTTCCTCAATTTAATGTTCTGTACTGTGAAAAAATCGCCAATGAAAAAAATATTTCTATAATTTTTTTGCATAACATCAACTTTTACTATAATAAACTGTATATATTCTGAAAGCTTATTAAAAATACTAAATAAATCAGTAAAGTCTAAGTTAATTAAGATTGAATCATATGACATATTTGCTTAAAAGTCATTAAAAATAGTAGCCATTTTGAATTTAAGAAAAATCGAGAAAACACGTGGTTTTGGTGGAAAATTTTTGAACGTTAATTAAGAAAATCGTCTAAGCTTCAGATTTCCATCTTAAAAAGTTACCATAACACACTTATTAACACATTTTTTTTTGTCATTGAAAACTGTCCACTCACTTTTGCACGTTACCGATTTTGAATATTTAACGGTATTTTCAAATTCGTTAATTATAGTACAAAATTTATTTTTCATACGAAATCTCATCAAAAATTAGATATACTGTGAAAATTTCAAGTGATTTCGTTTAGTGGAAGATACTTTTTGAACGAAATTATTAAAAAATTTGTTCTGTCCACTCACTTTTGCACGCTACTGTATAAAATTAATGAACACAAAAAGGGATCTTTCCAATTAAGAAATGAAAGCAGATTGTCGGACAGAAAATAATCATAAGAAGGCCTTCTTCCTTTCCTACTCTTTTCAAATAAAATTAAAAATATTTTTTCTTTTCCTTTTCTTGACTTCCTTTATTTCAGCACGTTTCATTTGCATGAAATCTTATTTTATTTTGATATTTTTCTTATTCCTAATTTGCATTTAAGGATAATTATTTTTTCAATAATTAGGAACGGATAGGTTCTTTCCTGTGGTTCTTATCCTGTGACGAGGAGGCTATGGGTCAATTTACTTATGACTTGCAATATAGGTATAGTTGAATGTGTTCATATCAATTGATATTCTTAAGAAAGAAAGAAAAAGAAAATTAAGTTTTGACTCAGAATTTGAAGCAATTAGACAATTAAATATTTCACTTTAGGCCTCTCGAGTCCAACAGCCAAAACAATAGCTGCAATTTTGTAGAAGTTGAAGACATGAAAATTAAAGTAAAGTCTAAAAAGGATTTAAAGTCTTTTTTATAAGATTACACAAAGCAGGGGCGTAGCCAGGGGGCCCGCACCCCCCCCCCCCCCCTACGAAAATCTGATAATTGCTTTATTAAGTATTTATAGAGAAAAACCAGTTAATGTAGAGGAAGAGATGAAAGAAATGTCAAAATCAGCACGAAAAATCAAATTTAATGTATGAATAATGAATTAAATATTCAAACTTATGAAGAATGAATATAGATTTAAGGATACAAAATAACGGTTTTTTAATTTTCGAACATGGGCCCCCCCTTAAAAATTTTCTGGCTACGCCCCTGGCACAAAGATGTCCTTTACCAAACCTTAACGATGCAATGAAGTATGAATAATTAAACCTTAAAAAATGCTCCAACAAATAAATTTCAAATTTGTAGAACTCCAATGAACAAATCAAAAAAATAATCACAAAATCCAAAACTCCTACACGTCAATCTATCCATAAACATTTTTCGTATCTTGTTCATATTTTTTCCTTTCAATTTCACGCTCTTTATTCGAGACATTAATTTCAGTGAGGAATATGACGGCCCACTCGTGACTCAATAATTGAATAGCATCAACCTCACCAATCGTCGTACCATCCTCATTCTCCGTTAAGTCGTCAACCATCGATTGAATGATTTCATGACAGTTTATTTGAGATGTATCAATGTGAAATGGATTAAGAGTTAGATTGAATGCCTTTAATCCCATTATGTCATTATCGACAACGTATTTACGAGCACAATAATTATGTCGTCTAATTTGCACGTAAGCATCAAACAGGGTTGAAAATGTGCATGATGAAATGGCAGATGACAAAATTCCTTGTAATTTTATTAATGTTGTATTCCTTTCAATTGCTAGTTCAACTGATAGAGGCTTAAGGGCATCAAAGATTAGGGATTTAAGAATATAATCTAGATACTTCTTCATCCTTAAACTTTGTTCAATACAATCGCCTTGTTCCTCAAGATGACTTTGAATTTCCGGTGACTCAAAATCAAATGTTGTTCCATTTTTGACACGAGTGTAGTTGAATTTCAAAGTTATCGCAGTCAGAACGACTAAAATTCGTTTGAGATGGAAATTTCTCAAATTTATCGTCTAAAATTTTCCCATCCTTCAGGTGCTCTATGAAGCAATTTATTTTCGCATTGTTGTAGTAATTGTCGAATAAATTTGCTTCCGCTGTTAGGAAGACAAATGCAAGCATGCAGAAGATTCAAGAATGACAGAAAATTTGTCATTATGCGAAATATTCAAGTAATTTATGCAGTGCATTAAAATTTATGTCATGAAAAATTATTCATTAAAATTTGGGTGTGGAAAATGTTTTAATACTGCTCCTGGCTTGTATTAGGAGGTTGTCCATATTTGTTGTAGATCAAAATAAGAACCAACTTCTCTTCTGTTAATTATCCGAAGACTAAAGTTTTTAAACAGCTCCTTAAAAATTAGCAGCTCTTTATCACAGTCTTACATTCCTAATCACAAATTACAACTTTAAGCAATCCTCACCTGATTATTATATTCATTTTATCTTGAACTATCTTCACACTCGATTGAATCCACACTAAGAATTATTAATCCAAAATGAACAGCTTAAGTAGCATTGAAAATAATGAAAGATGATAATTAAATTGATTATAGATAATTGAAAGCGATTGCTTGCAAAATATATTAGTGTGTACAATTGCAGTTATCATGTGATTCTTACGGTATTTGGATAAACTCATTAACCAGAAAAGGAATTACGGAAATTGATTGATTAGTTTAAAATATATTTGTTGTACAAGCACACATGACTGAACAATAAGAGATTTTGATAAGCCGTTGTTCATAAATGATATTTATCAAAATTTTGAAATTTTTCGTACAAAAATTATTGTTTTCGATGAAAGTGCTTCACAGGGAAACACCCTCAATAGTTGGACATCATTCATGAACAATCCCAAATGAGATGCTGCTTTAAGTTTTGGGTGGTATTGAAGATTGTGATGATGAAGTCAAAATAACAAATTAGAAGATTTTTACGCCAAAAAAAGTCAATGAAATCTCCTCAACCATTTATTTAATTACGATGACACATTGTGATGTCATGAGCATTGTGCGGATCCTTGTCATATCGTCGACACTCTATATCAGTTTTTCTCAATTTTTTGGTTTGAGAACCACTGCTCTATGTAATGATTAAAAGATCGGTCTCTGGTGGGAATTGAACTCACGTTCTCACAAAAGAGGACTTTAAATATTCTGCCTGTTGCCTAACCACACGCGCCACAGAGGTCAAACTCTCGCACCAGCAGAATCGTTTTCATATAGCTCAATCCCAACAGTTCCATTTTTCTCAGACACCACACACATCCTTAATAAAATTAGTTCTTGAAGTCGCTTTCTTTACTTCTGGCTATGTACCTGATTTAACTTACTTAAAAGTCTTCTTATGTGATTGAAGCTATAATAACCAAACTTCAAATAACGCCTAAAATTACGACAAAAAAAAACCAGCTCATAAGTCATCAACAATAAGCAACACTCTGATGATAAAAGCCCACACTTTTGAAAAGTCACCTCCTTTCAACTTTTCAAAATTGTCTCTGTAATTTCTTAATTTTCTATTTCATTCATTGTAACAGCTTCATCAACTGAAATAGAGCTCATCATGCGAATCGTATTCATCATTTAGACGAGAAGCAAGAATTTTGTGATTCTATTGCGAAAAATTTCATGCTCTAATTCTCACAGTTTATACATGTGATGTGCACCTTTAACATTAAAAAAAAGCAACAAATATTATAATGGTGCAAATGTAAGAAGCATAAGAATGAAGAGAATCTTCTATTGTGTCACATGTAAAGCTTCACAGACACAGTAGATGCATAGACGTAGGAAAGGAAAATTTTGTGTTATTTTTATTCTCATCTTTATTTCTTGTATGTACGTACGTACATAAATATTCCAAAATGTGTTAATACAGTTCCATTTGAAGAAAATTTATCACTTTTGCCCTAACAATTCACATTAAAGAGGTTAAGTGAGAAGCATTTTTCTTCATTTTAGCATGTACTGAGACCTTTTCCTTCTGTAAAAGGAGTGAAATTCTATTCTTCTTTTTCTTTGTGTATGTATGTGTATGTCTCTAACAATGAGAGATTGCAGTGAAACGTGATGTTATTTGGAATCATGATGAAAATAGAATTTAACACCTCAAAATGTACCCTGTATGTCTTGACTGAATCGTACCTTTGAGATATATTTTTTTATGTAGATTATTTTGAGTTGTAAGGATGAATTTACCTTTCTAACATCTCAAAAAGTTTAAAACGCTAAAGAATTTAAGATGGAAATGAAATGATATTAAACAGCAGTTGACATTCGTGGAATTTTATTTCGAGCTGTGAATATTTTGTTCCTTTGTAAACCAGAAGATGTGGTTCATTTAATCTATTACTTGTAGAATTATATTCAGGAACTGTTCGAAGAATGGATGTTATCTAGAGTCTTAGGGCACTTTTAAGAAAATTGGAGTTGCTTACTTTTAACTTAGTTTTACTTCTGTTTTATCTTAAAATTAAATAATATGTTAAAGATTCTTAGTGGCAGAATGGTTAAGTCTTTCGGTATATAAATATTGCAGTATCTACACGATGATGGGTTCGAGACTTGACGTAGGAAAATTTCTCGCTTGTTCTTTTTCGAATCAAATGAGCTGAAACTTAAGTTTACAGCCTTGCTTGTATGCTACAGTCAAAAATGCCACCAAAGAAGTTCCTTGTATCCCATTATAAACTGTAAGTCTAGGTTTTGAGCGGGAAGTTTGACGAACCATCACTCTTTAAACTATCATTAGCTTTGTAACGCATACCCAGATAGCACAAGCTTATTAATCGATCATAAATCCGGCACCAAGCCAGTCATCGAAGCCAGCACCATACCAGAGTCATGCAGGTTTTCTGAAAGATTAACCGACTTGTACCATACGAGATATCGCTGCTTTGGATCTAAAGATCTGAATAGCAAAAGTTTATTTTTAAAATTTATCTTAAATTTATAACCTATGATCGGAAAAGCTATACACAAACAGATAAGTCTCATAAACATCCTCACACTCCCATCCAAGAATAATAGAATCAAGAATATAGATAGAAAAAGATTCAAAGCAGCAGAAAAATCTAATTGTTGATAGGAATTCTTAATAATTTTCGAATGTTGTAATTCCTTTAATTTTTTCAAATTGTGAACACCCATTACAAAGGTTTTTTATGCCGTTTTAAATGCCAGAGATGTGCTGTGCATTTAAATCGGCTTTTTCCTTTGACAAAAGTACAATAATAAATAATAATAATAATAATAATAATAATAAAATCTCCAATGCGACATTGAAAATGCGTCTTTATTCCACACCATTGCACAACATCTCCTTAAATTGTCTAGCTTTCATCTCATTGCAGCAATAGTCCTGAACAATTTGCACTTCCTTATACATTATAAAAAAAATAAAATTTCTCTCCACACTTTATTCTCCGTTTCACATACCTTCAAGGCACTTGACAATGATAAATCATGCACAGTAGAGTGCTATTAAGAGCTCGTAAATTTATGGCATGATATTCATCTTGAATAATGAGATGCTTTCAATAGGAATGAATATGTGCACATTGAGTATGAAAATGAGTATAAGTATAACATGTAAAAAAATTATATATATACCAGAAATAAGTTGATGTAAACAACTAAAATGGTTGTTTGTTATTGAGCTTGTTCATCATATAGCATTTTAGCATACTTTATATCATGTGATTAAGGCTCTATCTTTCTATTCTCTTTTTTTACTCATTGAGAATTTATGTTAAACATTTTCATGTAGACAAAAAACACAGAACGAGGAAGAGAGTTGATTGATGAACAAAATGAAGCCATGATTAAAGATAATGACGAATTTTACGGTTAAATGTTGCTTTTAAAATATATTTTTTGCGGTTCTTTTGGATTTAAACAGGGGATTTTAATTTTAATTAAAATGTGCTTTCATTTTCTCTTTTTTCGCTGTTATTTATAGTTATTGGTATTTGGGTTGGCTCATCATCATTCGGCACGTGAAGGGTATTCATGTTTTTTTTATAAAGAAAATATTACTTTGAGGATTAAATTTCTCAAAAGATTGAATTGAAAGCTTTCACTCCCGTTCGCTCGATACTCATTCTCCCAGGATATGATGATAGCTGATAAAATAGTCAAAATAATATTTTAACCTTTAAAGTTATCTTTTCATTCATTCCAACATCTTCTTGCATCTTCTTAACTGGAGGTCGTTCATAAATGAGCTTCAATTTTAAATTTGCGGGAAGTCGACTTCTTTAACTCTGAATCTTCGTGATACTTCCATACGAACTGAAGTTTTTTGCATGAAACTTTTGTGATCAAAATTTTTGACGAAAGTTATTTATGAACGATCCCCTTAGTGGTCGTTCACTTATGACGTCCTAAAGTAACAGTCATTTTTCATTTTCATTTCCCCCCACCCCCACCCCCTTCCTGGACGTCATTAGTGAACGGCGCCTTATTATTATTTCCAAATGCTGAACATTCAATATGCTTTGAAACATCAAACTGTAAACTTTCTTCGAGATTTAATTGACGTATTAAATTAAATTTAATTCAAAGCTTCAGTCAGTGTCCCAAAGCGTTAAACGTAGGTGTTCAAAATTATGCAGACTTTTTTTTCATTCATCGGAAGTAGCAGAAGAGCAGCAAAATTAATAATAAACGCATGAGTTCATCCCTCAACTGTTGCTTAAAAAATTATTTTTCGGTCAGAAAATTCAAAAAAAATAATAATGATAAATACTGTGTTCTACCGTCCTCATATTTTACTCATGACGGGAAACTTAGAAAATTAAATTTATTCACTTATTATAGAACGAGGAGCTTTAAATTAGGTTAACTTCTGTTTCGAGCAGTTTTGATGAGGAAAAAGATGCTGTTGTCGTGTCTGTCAACAGTCGTGCATTTAACATGCAAAGATAATAAATTTGATAGAACCTAGACATTGAATGATGATCACTTGGAACTTCTGCTGGACGTAAATAGAGCGGAAATCTAAAAAGACTAAACCTAGTCAAAATTGAAACTCAATCTGCCTGGTAATAATTTTAAATTATTGCAGGCACGTAGCCAGGGGGGATTTGGGGGACAAATCCCCCTTCGTCTTGAGAAATTTTTTTATTTTGCTAGAGTTTTTTTGTAAAACTAGAAAAAATCCCCCCCCCCCCCCCAAAAATTTTTCCATACGAAAAAAAAAATTTTGTCCTCCCCTCTTCAAATTCCTTGCTACGCCCCTGAATTATTGTAAATTCATAATGCGCTTTTGCCGGTCATGTACAGCAACGTCCATACTAGCTTTTCATTTCTCGCTTAGAATTTTTATAACTTTGTTTATTAACGGTTAAAAAATGTTTTTCTTGTGTGTTTCCGCAATAAATTAGTCCAATATAATGAAAAAAATATTTTTAAAAAGCTCCAAAATTTTTAGTTCATAAAATAAAAAAAAATCATTTAGCTCACACATGCCTAAGTTTTGAGCAAATAAAAAGACGTCACGTACTTGTTGTTCGTATATTAACATTTTCTTTGTTGTAGAGTTTTTAAGGAGTCACTATCTATGAGAGCAGTAGGGCAATATTTGACGACGACAAATAATTACACAGCAACACAGCAAAGATGAAAAAAATATAAAGAAAATGGAAAATAAGAAAGTTATGGCATTATTTTCAGAATGATAATTTCACATTATGAACTAGAATCACGTACATTTTTTTGAAGAATTTTTCATTATTATATTTTTTTCAGCGCATTTTAGTATTCTATGTTGCACAACTCTTGTCATGAATTTAGGTGATTGGAACAATCTTCATGCGAATGAACTTGCTTATTTTATAATTCTTATTGGACATAAAATTGAATTTAGAGTTTGATAGATTTTAGTAGAATCGTCATCACCAGCCAGACCATACATTAAGTGCGCTCCTTTTCTTAGACTCAAAAAAATGTGACAATGTTTCAAACTTTGTTTGCAGCACAATCGCATCCATTTATATGAAACTATTATAATGCGATTTTTTTCCTTTAATAAAGTTATTAAATTTTGTTGAAACTTTTAAGGGATTTTATGGATGACTTAGTTGACAAAATTCTGTTGACCAAATTAACTGTCGATGATTTGAACAAATTGTCAGATAATAAAGAAATTGAAGCAACAAAATGTGAATGCAAGCATGTCAAGAAAATCACATCTCAAGAAAAAACCGTTACAACAATTTTTGAATTTTTCTCTCAATAACGCTCAGCCGTAAAGCAAAGCCGGTAAAATAAATAAATGTGCTCAAAAAAGTAAACATTTCATCAAAAATTAATTAAATCAATTAAATACTGATAATTACATTATAAAATGTATACCAAGTTGTTGTATGATTATCTTGTGGATTGTGAGTGCTGTAAATATTGTGTGTTAAGGTATTTAAAGCCTAGATACGAAGAATTATTGTGTGTAGAAAAAGCATTTGAAAAAGTAAATTTTAAAACATTATTTCAATATTGAAATTCAAGTTAATTAAGAATTTTACATTACAGAGGAAGTTGGGACATGAAAAACTCAAAATCAATGATTTGAATGAGAAGAAACAGAAGCTAAATCCTTGTGTTATTTGTTTTGGACTATTTGAGAATATTGATAGCATAATTTTGAAAGTTAAAGAGGATGAAAGACTGAATAATTATGAAATTGACAAGTTCTTGTCGGGCTTTTCACTTCCTGTTCTTTTGGAACTCACTCAGTTGCAGATGTGGCTGGCTCTGATTGAAAAATTTCCTGAACATATCAGTAAAGGTATGTAGTGAATTATAGATTTTAAACTTGTTTGTCTGCTGCTTGATTATGTTGATCTGCTACTGGATGATGCTATATGAGTGTTTCTTGCTCTGATAATTAATAATAATGTGTGAAGGGCCCAGTCTTTCAGCTGGAGGCACTGCGATTCAAATTAGAACAGAATCTATTGTACCACACCCTTTAGACCTACAGTTTATAGTGGGATCCGAACCACTTGCAAGCTCTGCACATTGCAAAGACACGAGTACGTCATAATGCCTGATGTACCCTGCAATGAATGCTGTGTGGATAGCTGCACCTAGATACGTACTTGATTCACTGGAAATAATCCAAAGAAAATCACTGCGTATTGTCCTATGTAAGAATTGGTACTGTAGTGGTTCAGAACTATACTCACTTCAAATCCTTCCTGTCAGAACAATGTGTCAAATATCATCTGCTGTATTAACCTTTAAACTAGTAAATGATTTGATGAGTATCAACAATGTACATAGATACTCTACTAGAAACAATGAGGATATAGTAACACATAGAACACAAACTCAGTTAGGAACAATGAATTTCTTTGTTAGAGCCTTCTTACAATATAATAATTTGCCTGATCAGATTAAATGCCAGAAAAGCATAAGTAAATTCAAAACGAAACTGCGCGAACATATACATGTGGGTGTTATGGCGAGATACAATAACAAGATTAAGGTAGTAAAGTTAATAATCTCTTTAAATGCAATTGTTAAATACATATTACATAGTTTTATACTACAATATTGTTATGGAATCAATAAAAAAAAATGTACCTAGTCACAATTCGTGTGCGCAAGATGACGTAAGGAAGTCATCCAGATGCTAGTATATCCTTGTATACCTAGCGAAGGAGGCAGATTCTATGCTAAAGACCTCAAAACTACACCCAGCACACGAACCGAGCTTCGTAACTAGAACGGTAAAATGGAAAAAGAGCTTCGAAAATTAGACATGGCCTGGGATTGAACCCAGGATCTTTTGCACAGAAGGCCAGCGCTCTACCATTTAGGCCACTGATGCCCTTTCACCGCTTTGATAATTACTCAGAACTCATTTTAATTGATCCTTGTGCTTAAGTTCAAAAAAACTGCAATTAAATCCTTGATTATATCCAACAGAAAATACACCAGACGTACCCATTAAAGATGCTATCAAATACATAATAAATGATAGACTAGAGAAAGAATTAAAGAAGGAATTTGATGTTGAAGGAATCCTGATTGGAATAAATTTTTCAATTGAAAACGAGCACGAAGCTTTAAGTAAACTTGATGAGGTTGCTCCGGAACTAATGAACGAAAGAAATAAACAGAAGTGAGTATCTTAAAAGACGAAGCTCTTCACAAGCCCAAAATCAAGCAAAATACTCATCTAATTTAAAATACAGGAAGCGTTTTCGTACCGAAGTAATCTCAAGGAATTACTTCTGTAAGCATTTCACACCGACCAGTATCGATATCACGAAGTTTCAAAAATTAATTCCAATTCCACCGAAAGTTCCAACAGCACCAATTAAATTTGATGAAATAGCCATTACAGGTCCAACAATTTTCCTCGCAGGACGTTACAATAAATATTCGAGAGATTTGAGTCAAACGCCTTGGTTTGTAGGCGGCAAAAAACTGTCAGACTTGAGTGTAGAAGAAATCATTGTCAGCTCCATTTTGCCTCATTTCAAAGTATCTGAATCAAGTGTCACATTTATGTCAAGCGGGCGAGAAGATGTTGATGTTAGATGCCTTGGAAAGGGTCGACCGTTTGTACTTGAAATTATGAACACAACAAAAACAATTTTGGATAAAACCTTGGCGAACGAGATGGAGGCAAAAGTGTGTCAATCTGGTGTTGTATCTATTCGTGATGTGCAGCTGGTAAAAAGGTAAAATTGTGTTTTTCGTTATTTTTGTCTTCTTGGACTTGCTTTTGGATATAGAGCTTCATAATTTTGTCGCTATGAACATTTCCAAAATTTACAGGTTTTCTAAAATTCAAGTTTTGTCGTCAAAAAGTCGTTGGTTTTTAAATGTTCAAAATCCCGTATACTTTTACTAAATTTCGATAAAGCTATTTACGGATAATAAAGCAATAAACAGCATAACGACAATAAAATCCATGAAAAGCTCTTTAAATCTCATAGTATTATGGCACAACAACTTTCTATGTTGTGTTGTGCATGTCAATCATAAATGTACTATTTAATCCAACCGAATCATTTCCACAGAGATGATCTCCATGCCATTAAATCGGGTGAACAAGACAAGAAGAAATATTATCGTGCATTGTGCACTTTAAGAGATAATGATATTATTAATGAGGAAATGCTAGTAAAGCTAGAAATAAATGAATCTTTTGACATACAACAATGGACGCCTTTGAGAGTTCTACATCGTAGGACATTGATGAAAAGAACTCGAACAGTTCACAGTGTAAAGGCACATGCTGTTAAAGGTAACTATGCACTAAACAATTTTAAAATTTGTCATTTTGAACACGTATTATGTCTGTAAAATGTATTAACGTACGAACAATGTCAACAGATAAGCACAATCTGATTGTCCTCGACTTCGTCACGCAGGCCGGAACTTACATTAAGGAGCTTGTACATGGTGAATTTGGACGAACAGCGCCGAGCATTTCATCTCTTATTAATAGGGACATTGACATAATTTCATTGGATGTTATGAACATTGATCTCGACTTTCCACCATCGACGCAAACATGAGAATGTAATTAACAGTAAAATGAACGCGTAATTCCGCTTCTCATAAATAATTAATTATGTAAATTCCATTTAAAAATTTATAAACGACCAGATTTGGTAGAAAAAGTCAGCGTCAACAATAAAATTTTAATGAATGAGGAAGTTTTCATATTTTTACACAGAATTTAATATGTAATTTTATTAATGACAATAAATATGAGAAAGAAAAAGTTTGATGCAGAGTTATTTTTAATTTAATTCTAATTTCTAGGTTAAGTCTAGGTCTCTTAACTTAAGAATCACAAAATTAATTTCGACTCACTAACATCCGACAAAAACAAATACTACTAAATGTTATCGAAGTTTTAAAAGAATTAAATTTACACGATGAAATTTGAACTACACTAGCTATGTTATACTGAATACTATTGAAAAAGAGCATTGTAAATAAGAAATCAATTTATGAAAGGTTTTTTATGCATTCTGAAAAGTTTAAGTACTTCTTCAGAGTGCTTTTTCCTTTATACATAATTGAAACAAAAAAATAAAGGTCCTTTAATTTTAATACGGACCATAATAAAAATAATAATAATAACTTAAGAATCGAAAAGTAGGTGGAGGCTTCAAGCGACAACTCGTTAATTTAATCCAAATCATTTTAAAACGGTTCTTTAAACATCAGTCAACTGAATTCTAGCCTTAATCCCAGCCCCTTTGTCACAAAACAACAAACTCTTCATCAAATATTGAATAGATGCCACAAGTGGACAACCTCACATATGGCACGTAAATCATTATTTCAATTATTCAGATCAAAACATTAATTGTGTGTCAAAAAATCCATTTTTATGTTTACCAACACTTAGGTCAAAGCTACTAAGGTCTTATTAATCTAATCACTCAACTACACGTGGCATGTAAATGCTACCCCTGAAATAATAACAAAAAAATGTTTTGACTGGTTAATGCCACTTTATAGAATGTGGATTATGTATACATGTTTCATGTTAAAGAGATTAAAACAGATTTAAATTCCTATGTGACAACCTAAAATAAACGTGGATATGAAATTTTCAGGATACAAAAAAAGAGATGTGTTATACAATTTATACAATCTGGATTTATCGCAATACGTAATAGATTTAAAATGTTGTTAAAAGGGATAAAGATCTTTATCAGTTTTGTAGGAACACGCATAAAATTTTAATGCTCTTTTGAAGGTATTATAGTATGAAACAGATATTGCTGAGTGATGTGTGTCGTCGTTTGAATGTTATTGCTCTTTTGGAATTTAATACCACACTATCGAGATTCTGTTGATTGACTTAAATCTAGCAGTTGTGCATAGAAAATACTTTAGGAAATCCAATAAGTTTTAAATTTGAAACTTGACGTTTTATTGTTGTTCAAATTTAGATTATTTGAGGAATTTGTACTGTCAGTTTTCTCCCAACCTCCGAATGAGGAGGTTGTAGAATTGTGCAATACTTCAAAAATAATTAATTACGCGTAGGAATAAGTCACAAACCTACGGAAACTGTCTTCAAAATAACAAAGAACAAAGATACCAAGGAGAAAACTCAGCAAAGTCGCGATTTAATTAAATTTTGGATATAAATTGAAATTGGAAAAAAATGTGCAAATTTTGCACATAATCTAGATAAAACGGAATTGATCATCATCGGAATACCAAAGAACATTTAATTATATTGACAAATCACGATCGGAGGCAGATGTGAGGAGAATCAATTGTTTCACGTGGGTTTTTTGTGTTTTATCAACAATCGTGGACAAAAAGGTTCTATCATAACCATAACCTAGACATTTGAATATTATTGGAATACAACGGATAAGGTTCAATTTTGAGGAGAATTTGTCTCGCGATAGGTTTTGTGTGTTTCCCCATATATCGCGGGCAAGTTCTATCAATCAATTGGTGCTGACTGGATTTCAACAAATCAACATTAACAAACAGGAATCGATCATCTCGGAATACAGAAGAACACATTAATTACATTGACAGATCACAATCGAGACATAACAAAAATGTGAATCTATTTGGAATATCACAAGTTAAATTACAAGTAGACTGTCAAGGGATCTGGATCATAGACAACTGAAGATGGAATTTTTTGCCTAGCGATGGTTTTTTGTTGTTTTGACTTATCGCGGGCATGTTTTCTGTCAACCATTTGGAGTTGACTGGATTTTATTGTTTGTTCTTTGTGTATATTTGTAAATTTAACTACCTGGAATTGTGAACGGTCTTTCAATAGCAATAAGCTGATGGACCATAATAAAGTTGATTAAGAAGAAGAAGAAGAATTTGTACTGTTCTGGAGTTTTCAGCAAATGTAAGGTCGTGAATATTGTAGCTTTACTGTACTGTAGCTTTGTCATGTCGATACAGTCAGAGTCACTTGATATGACTTGATGCGGATTCAATTCTGCTCCAACAAAAAGTGTGGAATCAAAAACATTAACAAAAGCGTTGCAAATACATGATATTGATTTGAAACAAAAGTCAGCTGATCTATAAAGAATAAATCAACTATCGTTTAATGCTTTCGAATGAAGAGTTGCTGATGGAAATCAATTGAAAAATAAAAAGCTATAGACTTTAATTAGCAAAAACTAATTCCTTATCAGCACAAGTGCATTTCTCTCGCATTCACAGATCAAGCCATATCCTGTGTCACGCTTCATTGTCTTTCCTTCTTTGCTAAATGCTCTAGTGGATTTTCCTTGCCAGACTCTTGAAAACAATTGACATTCCATAATTTATATTTTGCACATACATAAACAAAACAGCCACAAAAATGCATACAGCATCAAGCTCATGTACATATTTCACATATTTTCACTGAACTAACCTTCATGCTGACATAATGAAGTACAATACAATGAAGTGCAAATGCTTATATCGGAATGCAGGAATGCAATAAAGTCTAGTTATGCATTTTGAATAGCGTAGAATTAAAATTAAATTTTCATGTTGAAGGAGAAATGTCAAGATTCTCGTCTTACCTTCATAGTTGAGTATAAATTTAATTGCATCTGTTAAGCTAATGCTGAAATGGCATCAACATGCAGTTAAGGTAATCCATCAAAAACTATGAAATCTCGCTCATCGCTTTGGGTTTAATAAAAGTAAATTTCATTACCACCTTTAAGGATATGACATAAAAACATTTTTCTCTTTCTCTTCCTCATCTCCTTTCTATGCTGTATGTTGATATTAAGGATCTATCTACAAGCACAGACAATATTATTGCACATTCATTATGGCAAATAAACATGTCAAATGTTCATAAATTGATAAGCTTAGGAAAAAGTTTATTTTGCACATTTTGTGGATTATTCGAAGCAATAAAGTCAAATAACTTTTAACGCTGATGATATCGCAGCTTGTAGAGCTAGTTTATGTGATAACAAAACATCAGCTTTAACAGCAATTCTATTTTCAATTTGAGTAAAAGGTATGAAAACAAATTTATGAGAATTCCCTATGTTGTGCTGATGCTATCGCTGAAGAAGCACGATTTCCTCGATGTATGTACTCATATGTGAGGATGAGGATGTGCTGCTAAGTTTTGTATTTAGTAAGTATTTTGATGATGAATGCCAAATTTTAGTTGACAGGTTTTTATTGTAATTATTATCTTATGAAGGAAACTTAACAAAATCATGCATTTTAAGAATAATTCCTTAATTTCTATATTAAAGCTACTATTACTATGAAATTGTTCATAAATGAGGTCCGACTTTGGGATTGGAGTTGATCACACGCTGTTCTCTTAGATTCCAATTCACATTTACAAAACCTTAGTAAAACCGACCGAAATCGAAGCTACACATCCTTGTTTTTGCTAGTAAGGTGCAATCGTTACATAAAGCACAGAGTAACTAAATAGAAGTTAATCAAGTTTTATTTTATGGGAATTTCGTTAAGTAATTTTATCGGTTGACTTTTTATGAGGAAAATAGAATAAAAGAATGAATTAATGTCCCAATAGAAAAATTTAATTTTAAATTCTCTGTATGTTATAAAAAGCGGAAGCTTTTACCTAAATTGTTCTATGGCATTTTAGAATTCCTCTCAAGCATAGAGAAAGGAGAAAAGCATGCTAAGCTTAGAAGAAAATAAAAGGCACTGGAATGGTCGGATAGAAGAAATAATAAATTCAAACATATTTTTATGGAAATTTATGTTAAAAGTTACAAAGTTTTATCATTTGTGAAGATAGAATAGTTGACCGCTAAAACACGTTAATTCCATATCGTAAGACATGCAGCACAAGGTGAAAAAAGTTTCGAGAGCTATAATGAACATTTTATTGCCCCGTGCAGTTGAATAAAAAGATTGTCATAAATTTTAATTACAATTAAAATGACAAATTTTAGTCATTCCAAAAATGGACAAACTGTAAATCATGAAAGTTTCGCAAAGAAGCTTTTGTAAATCCTCGCACGAACTTCCTCGAAAAAGCAAAAGTTAAATTAAACCTTCATTTTATTTAAATTTATTTTCTTTCGGGGAAATCTCAAATCATTTTAAAATTTATTTCCATTTACATCCTCTCGACTGCTCTACTTCTGCAATTTTGTGTAAGGAATGCTTTGAATAAAGAAACGGAAACACAAGATTTCTGGATTAATGACCTATACACATACCAGAATGAATAAAAGTTTACCATAAACTCTTTTTTTATAAATGCAAGGACATCCGTATGAAGCTTTTGGATCTTTAAGGTAACTTTTGAAGCAGACGAAGTTTGGATTCTAAAGTACATTTTTTGAACATTAACAATACTTGAAGGAAGGGAAAAAAAACTAGTATGAAAATGCTTAAAGACGAGTTATGATTGAACTTTGCTGTTGAAACTCCCACTGAGCTAGATTGGTTCACATTAATCTTTGTTAGGATATGGTATTATTTTTGGATATTTGTTATTATTAGATAACCTTCTGAGAAATATATTAAATTCGTGTTGTTTATGATTTTGGGGATTCTTGAGTTTGATCTTGTCGTAAATAAAACAAAAATGGTTAAAAAGTCTTGCAATGAGGTCTGAATTGTTTGAAAATGCTGAATCTTTGTTAGCATTCTGCAATAAATTAGTAATCGAATCAACAGATTTTGTAAGCTTAAGATCTTTTTTTTTCAAGACGCACTTAGGAAACTTAAGAATATTTATCAAAAATTTATTGGACTTTCAGAAGTTTGGGAAG